GGGCAACTTAACCGCACCCCCTGCCGCACCCCTTCTCCAGTGTCCTTGGTTTTGGTTACGAGAATTTTTCACATCAGGAATAAAATGGCTGTTGTTGTAAGATGTCGCTCTGCTCTGATTTGCCTCCAGTATGATTTCAAGACACGAATGACTGATGTCTTTAGCTTGACACCTTTCGTTGCCTGAAATTTCCTAAAATGCTTCAAATTATCACATCAATACATTTTACGATTAAAAGACATCCTTTGCTCAAGCAGCATATTCGTTGTAGTTTATTTTTCAATGTTATTATAGTATTCTGGAAATCTAAGGTTTTTGGAAAGGGTGGCCATTAAGCATTAAGAAAGGTGTTGTGTTTATTTGGTTCATTGCGAGGCTTCTTTACTACACTGAAAAGAGGATGAGATTTACTATTTCTCCTCCCTAGCATCCCGAACATCCATCGTGTGTTGTTGTATCATTGAAATTCCGCGCACTTTCTACAAGTATAAAACTTTACAATTTGTTTCTTTATAAACCACAAATCTGATTGAAATCAAAATCATGCGCAAGATCTGAAATGCAATTTTAAAATGGATACGGCAAATAAAACAGATGCTAAATCGACTTTGCGAACTGCTTCATGGGATTATTGTTGCATTTGTCTGAATTTTCCGATAAAAGCGGATATGTGATAAATTTGTTTGTCGTCTAAATTATCCATTGGTTTTAAGAATGTTTTTGTTTTCAGCTTAGGCAATGATATAGCCATAGCCTGAGGTAGGAAGTCAACGCCTCTCTTACTCGATGATTAATAACCCCAAGCTATAATTGTAGGCTATCTGTATTTTCTATCAAACAGATGCCAATCTTGGCCTCTAAAGCGTCACCTGTAAACCTCTAGTTTTAGAGCATACTTGTCTAGTTTCCAGATCGCTGTTTATGAAGAAAACAAGCGCTCTGAATTTTCAGATAGATATGAATACGAGACCTCGTTTTAACTATTATAGTCGATGGTAGATCTCGTTTTAAGGATACGCCTGAATGACCCGTGTTCTTATCGTGTGTGACACGAGGCCAATTTCACGAGCTTTGAGATAGAAATCGAGCTTTTGAGAGCGAAAGAATGAGATAACACATCCCCCCCTCATTCTCCCAAAGTCATAAATTATTATGGTTAATTTTTAAAGAAATGTCTCGAACGAATGTTCTTGGTAGAAAATTCTCAAGATCTCTACCTGCGTTACAAAAGAGGTACTGTTTCGTTAAAATTGTTTCTTAATCATCCCCAATAATGGAAAAATTGGTAGAATTTCCTATTTTCATGATCGCTTAATGATATCTGATTCAATACATTTCCTACAAGTGTTTCGATATTATAAACTTTAATAAAAAACAATAATTAAATTTATCCTGCCAAGAGCGTAACATGGTCGTCGGTAACTTGGTAACACTTGCTGAAAAAACAACTGGATAGTCATTTTGTATACACCAATGCGTTAACAAGTAATTGTTATTAAATTTTTACGAAATCAGATAGTGTATACAGTCGCGGCAAGAAGGTTTAAGTGATTCAACCTTCACACGATGCGAATTCATACCAACCTTTGAAGGACTGTAATTTAGACGGAACAAGTGAAAGCCAAAGAGGATGGGCAGGACATCCCAGTATTTTAGAAAAGAATGGCCTGGACCCTGCCTAGAGTAGATAACTCTGTTATTGTATTGCTAAACCTTTTCCATCCTGAGGCAGTATTATATGACGCAAGGCCTTGCTAAGGAGCATCATGTTAAAGATAGTCAACCTTAACACTTTGCTGGGTGTTAATCGAGGATCCTTGGTAGCATCGTTTCCCATTTCTTTGGTTGTTTATATACGGTAGCTATTTAATTCAATGAGCTAAAAATACCCCTATTCAACCAATGCTCCATAGACTGTCCAGCCTTGTAATTTGTATCAATTTCATTTAATCCTAAAAGCGATATTCGTTCTCATACCTAATGTGATTTTTTAGTAGCTGAAGCAATTTGTGGTTCATCTCAATATCTTTCAAGTGCTACGCTTAAATCATGCAATCATGTACTAATTTGTTACTAAAATGCCTGTGGCTTCTTTTAGAATTGCCATGTCTGCCTTCCACGTGGTTTATCCTCGGGAAGAGTCGTCGCTATTTTATTAGTTACCTTAGATTGGTCATAATGCAGAGATTTGATTTCGACATATCAAAATTTCCTCCAACCGCTAAATGCTACTATTGGCTTGAACAATGAAATCACTTTGCTTTGTGAGACTTTTGCCAGTCACACGTAGCAATAGCCTAACAAGTTTGCATTCGTATGTTTTGATTCGATATCGGGTTGCAGCCAATAGAGCGTAAGAGCCTACAATCTTGGACAGAGCTGTTGGGACAAACCTCTAAACTTCTTCCTAGTAGCATGCATGAATAGTCCAACCTCTAATCTCTTCCCCTTAATCAATCTTGGAGCGTATTCATTTTGTTAGAAGAGATATCAACATCTAACAGAGGGGGGAAGGAATAGAAAATCTAAACACCGCCTGTCCAGGATTGTAGGTACAGATTAATGAAACTGTCTAATATATAGATTTGTGAAACATAGAACAGAGACAGACCCATTGAACCCAAGAAAAAAATCAATAAAGGGAGGTATTTTTCTTTCTTAGAGTTAAAATGTATGGCTTTCTTAAGTGTTCAAGGGTCTCTCGACCCAACCCTCCCCGTTCTCTGCAATTTAAATTCACTTCTCATTGCCCCCTTTAAGAACTGTAGAGTCACACACTTTATGGTACATGTGTGTGACTCTACACCTATGCTTATGTTGAATTTAGCAACATTGTAAGGAAGAGGTATGGTTAGGTTCTGGAGTTATTAGAAATCGTTTGCATGTGATATAGAACGACTGCAGAGGGCACTCGACAATGGGAGAAATAGATATCTTGCACATCTGCCCAGATGTATCGATTTATTGTGCAAAAGAAGGGTGAAGTTCTCACTAGGCAAAACTTTCATATGCTTTACCATTTTGCTGAGCCATTAGCTAAGCATTTTGAAATGACATCAGGTAGACATTCGACTACACTCGTTTTTTTCATTAAACAGATTTTGGGAGTAGGCCATTTCTTAAATTTTTGCATCACATAGCTATGGTTGTTCCGTAACTTTTGAAAACTTGAGACTGCCATTTATTATAAGCTTTTTGACATCGTCCTTTAACTTTATTCTTCCAAATTCCACACAGACAGTGGTTTTTAAAAGCCGTTTAGTTGTTAACTTTAAACCCTTTTAGTCTATTTTTTGGTCAAGTTTATATTGTCTCATTGAAGGGAACTGGAAAAAACAGTGATTTTGTCGAATTATATCTTTCTCTGATTCCTTTTCATCTCCTTTTACCATAGATTGTTCACTAAAAACGGTAAGAATTGGATTTTCTTTCCAGAGACTAAACGATGTTCACTTTGCTAAAATATAAAGGAAGCCGTGCTTAAGGTTCAAATTAATAAAGTATGGCTGTTTTGCTCATTCTAGTTCAAATTATTTCTAGATGAAAATGCGTTAATCTGTGGATGCTATTTAGATGTAACCTAGCAGAAGTTCCGAAAAAGGAACACAATTTCAGTAATATTTTGATAAAGCTGGTGCTTCAGGAAAGCTCTAGTCAACTACCATGTCAACCAGCTTCTTACCTCTATCTCCTGTATCCTCTATCTATAGATGTTTTATACCTTATCCTGTAAAGGCTTGCTATTAGTATTGTCAAACGTTTTTATTTCTTGGAGGGGGGACTGCCCATTTAGTTGCCCTTCATTCAGTACTCTGTTATAAAAGAGTTAAAAAGGTTTGGCAATTATTTGAGAGTTACATCATCTATCCTCCCACTCTAATTATTTACTTCATGTTGGTTTTGTTTTGTTTATCTGTCAGGGTTGCTTGGAAGAGAATATCTTCCTCGAGAGCTAAAGCATTGTTTTTCAGAAAATCATTGAACATTCTAGCTTATTTGGAATTGCACTGTTGCCTAGAAATTAAGAAAAGCTTTGTTTGGCTATTTACTGTTATTTTGCTTTTACTTGCCAAGCGTCAACTTCGACAATATTTTGGTACATTAATCGTTTTTTTTAATTCAAAGTCGCAATTTCATTTGATTTTTATTTCCGCCATTAATCTCTATCCTTTGAACAGTTATTGTATCCTGTCTTGTATGCCTGCCCTTTCTACTATTCCCGCCTCTCTAATAATCCCACCTTTTCTCTAAACTTTGAAGTATTAATCCTGCCTCTCTGATAATCCCGCATGGGGGTTTTTAGCCAGTAATCGTCTTTTCTAGCCAACTTTTGCCAACGTTCTTGGCAGTTTAAATTGAAAGTTTCCGCCCCCAAAAAACAGGAGAAACATAGTGAAAAATTCAAGCCCGCTTATTAAAAGCACGTTTAAAAATTAATCCCGCCTCACTGATAATCTTGCCTCTCTAATAATTCTGCATTAAATTGGGAGGTTTAATCAATAAACCTGAAGCGGGAATACAGGAGATAGTACGGTATGTTACTTTTACGCTCTTTTATGTATTTTGTTATTCTGGCAATCTTCAAGATTTTGAATGAATGTTACGTTTTTTTACTTGAGTAATCAAAGTCACCTAAAAATAATTTGCTTTTCAAATTCTATTGAATTGTTTATAAGAAAATTTTTTCTCAAAGCCAAAATTTTGAAAGATACATTTCGTAAGTCGCACTTTCGTGTTTTTGATTCTTTAGCCATCCTTGTCAATTATGGGCCAAAGTCCAAGAACTTGACATCAGTACAATTTCGAATTGTTGTTTTTGCATAATCACATTTAAATGAATTCTGCAAAGTCCATGATTCATCGTGTACAACTTTAAATAACTTTTAATTAATAACTTTGAACAACATAAAAAGCAGTTTGCAGAGTCGATCTGGGATATGTTTCTTAACGTTGCTGCAAGTGGGTTGGTCTCTGTCAGAGTGAGGCTCGCCTCTAATTGGGGTCTGGATTGACAAATAACTTGACATGCATGAGTAGAGATGGAAATGGCCAAATGAAGAAAGGAATTTGTGATCAGGACGGTGGAATATTTCTGTTTTTGATATTCATAGATGTAACTCACGTACGGATCGAAATGAGGATAGCACAGTCGATGTAATTAACACGATAATGTAGTAAGGTACACGCAGATGTCGGGTATTGAGGTGAAATGGCGGATACTATCAAAAAATGCACCCTTGATGTTTATGTAAAAGACGGTCGCCTGAAGGAAGTCGAGGAGAAATTCGATCGCATTAAAGACCTTTTTAGTGTTGAATTGAAATATGGATCCTCACAAGGCAAACAGTATATGGTCAATCCCGGAAAATGGCTGGAGGTTGTGGGGAAAAGGGAGAACGCCGTCAAAGCACGGGTGAGTGAAGTGTTTTTGTTCATGGCCTTGATATTTTGGAGGACTTCTGACTTGCGGTTTTCAAACGACCAGTCTCAGGGATTTAGCAAGTGAGACGATTTCTAAAGGTTGTTTTGTTTTGTAACTTTTCAGTTTGTCCTGATGTAAACCATATGGAGTAATTTGTCTATAATAAACAGGCATTTCATAAAATTAAGACTTTCATATCAAAAACTTGTTATCAACATATTTATGCAATATTAGGGTTTATCGTTTGTGGATTATGACTCATGAAATAAGAATCGTGTACTCAGGAATGCCGGAATCGAATTTGTTCGACAACTGAAGCGATTTTCTTTTCAAGTTTTATGGGTTCATGCATTCTGTTGTCGTAATTGAGAAGGAATTCCGGTTGCTTCAAAAAGATTAGTGCTTCGTGCCAAATAACTCATGCAGTCGGCTTTCTTCTCTTCAATTAAACAAGGGTACAATTACAAATATTGTGACCACACGAATCTCTCACCACATGCCAAATTCTTTCAGAATTGAAGTTGTTTTAATTTTCTTATTATCAAAGGAAAATGTTTACTCTAAGCGCCTACCTGCCTTTCACGAAGAACCAACAAATCTTCCCATGCATCCTTTTTATCTTGTTTACATGTGTAAAACAGGCCCAATTGGAAAGTCTCCTTTCAAATTTCTTACGTTTATTAGAAAAAACCTAGTTAATTTTCACATGGACAATTTTTTTAATCGAAGTCTAGTCGTTTATTGCTTTCAGAACACGTCCAAGCGGAACGTTTAGTTTATATTTAAGGCCTCTAATATACAGCAAGTTAATTTATTTTTCAATTTCATTCAAGGCAACCAGTATTTTGATATTTTTACCTGTCTTTCAGGAATATGTCAAGGGTATCTCATACCCCGAGGAGGTTGTTCGCTTACCGATCCCCGAGCCTATGGTCAAGTCTGTCTTAGCTAAAATTACAGACTTAGAGAAAGAAACGGCAGCCATAATTTCATTGCCAAGTAATGGGGAGATTGTTGAAATCAGTGGCTGGATCAATGGCGTTACCAAAGCTGTAATGAATATTGAGCAGGCCATCAATGTTTTTCTGGAGGAACAGGCCTTAGTGGGAGCGGATCTTGACCAAGTTACAACAGATGAGCAATCTGCAGGAATTGTTCTTAGTTCAGATAATCACAACTTAAATGTCAGCACGGATGCGGCGATATTTTCCCCTGTACCTCCTCAGTATTACGCACAGAATCGTCAGTATTACGCAGAAAATCACGAAGATGTCGAGCTGGCCGCTGGGAAACTCGATGCACCGTGCGTTACAAGTGCAGGGCCAAATCAAAACAGGTGTAGTTGTGGAAACTTGAACGACTCACCTAAACAAAGTTACTTTTATTGTAATAATAACAATAATGATAACAGAAAGCAGGGTAGTTGTACATGCGATACCGAAATACCAAAACAAGGCAGCTTCAACTTTGCACCAGGTGCAGCCTCTACCGAGCCAACGTTGACGGCTGACTTGATGGAGTTTGGTTTGAAATTGGGCTACAGTCAAGACGAAGTCAAGTCAGCCATGAAAAAACTCGGTACAGAGACTGCTGTTAACCAAAATGAACTGTTACATGAACTTATAAAAGCTTCAACCTCAGCTAAGCAAATTGGAAAAAGTGATGAATGTAAAGTGAACGAGAGTACTGGCGGATACCCAAGACCCACAGATACTGCTATCCTAAGACATGTTGTTATTGATGGAAGCAATGTTGCGATGAGGTTTGTCATCCATACGTCATTTACTTTTGTCGGTATCAATTAGCCAAAATTTAATGTAATTGAAATCTAATTAGTGTACACCTTCAATATGCACAGTTTTACAATTTGCACATTGAAGAGATTTTTTGTTTCATTAAGGCTTGTGCTTAAAAAGCAAACTGCTTTCCTTTATAGATCAATTCATTTTATTTTCTCCTTTTTCTGTCTTTTTATTTGCCATTCATTCCTCAAGATAATTTAATGTGCAGTATATTTATGCTGTGCAACTGTTTTTGTCATTGAGCATAGTAGCATGAACTGTGCAAATTTACCATTGTTGTATTTTTTGTTAATGGTTTAGTTTCAAAACATAAGAATATGTTTCCTTAATCATTTTTTTAAAATTGTACAATCATTTAGTATCACATAAGCAATTCAAGAGTTTATGCGAGAAACAGTGATAAAAATCTACTTTTATTAACAAGCAAATACACTATCTGATTGAGGTATGACAGCAGTTAGTTAATCAATACCAAACAACTGCAGTAACTGAATAAAAGCAGTGGTTTTAAGGCTAGCAAAGAATGTTGTTTAATCATATAAAGGTACCATATTGTAGCTTAATTCTTCATAGATAATCAAGCTTAATCTTGTGCCAAATATAATTTGAAAGGCTAAAAATACTCTGTTTTGCAGTTGGATTTTCAATTAGTGTGGGAAATTCCATGTTGTTGGTGTCATTTTCCAGATGTAACCCTATCTTTATAAAATTCATGATATGTTTCTGTGGCCTAAAGTTCAAAGCTTTTTAGTTCTTTGAATAGTTTAGTTAAATTCATGTCTATGCAAACCTATCATGAAAGGGGGACATATCAGTGACTCCCCCGTGAGACTGAAACATGAAGTACTTTGCCTAGTTATGTGAAAGCATCAGCATTATATATTGAAATACACATATACAAAATAACTTCTTCTGAAGAGAAAATTACCAAAAAACACTGCATATAGGCTTTCTAGATTTCATGAATCAATTTTTTAGCTGCTGAATGCATTCCTTACATCTTTTTCTTGAATCAGAAGGAAAGATTTACAAAAATGTCAGCTTTATTTTTGGCAGTAACTTGCCGCTCGTTTTAAAGCAATGCACCTTAACCATCAAATGTTAACAAACTTGAAAAAAGCCATTTTGAAACTTGCTTCAAGCAGTTGGTCTCATATTTAAAAAATGGACTGGTGCACATTTCACTGTTTGAGATAACATTTCAATCTTCAATGAAATTAGAATAATGGAATGTTTTGGGGTTTTAGAATTGTCAAAAATTCAGTTGTGTAGCCATAATGTATTTGACATGGTTGATTTTGTTTTCAGTTTTATACAAATTTTCCTGTCAAGTTTTAGTCCAACTGCATTTTGAGCTATTAGGAAGAATTTTTTGATTGATTTGTACCCAGTCACATGGTTAATTTAAACTCCTTGAAATTCAAGTACAGTTTGGTAACATCCCTTAAAGGTTTAGAGATGTAAGAAAGACCTTAAATGCACCACATGATAAGCATTTAGGATTTCTTTGTTGATTCTTTCAACCATCATATTGAATTTATTACATAAACAAACAGGTCTAACAAAAATTTAATTAGTCTAAATGAGTAAGCAGCCATTGCAGCCAGAAATAGAACAACATAGTAGACGGAACCATTGTTTATATTTCCACATTTCACGTCATCAGAAGATTTTGGATTTTTTTCATTTCTATGCTCTTATCTTGAAAGCCTTTAAGTACACTCATTTATGTTGATAAGCTGTTGCATATATTCTCAATATTTACATATTCTTTGCATTCTTCGCATTATTCTAAGTTTTGAAGCCTTTTTGTCATCAACAAAGAAACAAAGTATCTTATAAACCATCATAACAAGGTGCTTAAATACAGTGAACAGGAAGGTTTAGGCAAGCTTCGCAACGACTCATTTTTCAGTTTTTGTGATTAAACAATTGGTGAGAGGTTACCTCTTGCGTCCATGCTATTGTGGTGAATATATTGGGGCCCAGCAAGCGGAAAATTATGTTTTGTATCCACTTGAAGAAATTCACATTTTTGAAAAGCTTGCGTGTTTTTGTCGCGGCAAGAATCCCATAGAATTACTTGCATTCCACACATACATTTGCGGTATGGATCAGGACGTAACTCATTTAAATCGTGAAAAGGAAACCCATAATTCGATAATTACTTTAAAGTTTAAGGGTGCCAATTATCCATGAGCATATTCTGGACAGAAAACTCAGTCAACCATGCTTTTCTTCAATATTGACTAATTTGAAGTGTTTTTCAAAGTCTAATAGTGATGTCTGTGATGTTTGTTAAGTGGCTTATCGTGTAAACAACGCTGTCTGTCAAAGGATAATACTCACCTTCTTTCAATATTTTGTTACTTAATTCAATAGGCATATGTTGTTTTAGGCCCAGTAGTTTGCCCAATTGTACAGATTTAGTCTCTTGATTTTTCGGCCGAATTTGATGATGTTTATCTATGCATTCTGGATCTGGACCACCCATATGTTGGCAAATTAGGTTGCACTTGCTTAGACAAAAGTTTACTAGTAAAATTTTGGCATTTTAGTTTTAATAATGCTAGGCAAGAAACTGTGGCAAAGGAGAAATGCTGTTTCGTGCATGCCAATGTATTTCTTCACTTGTAAATTTTGCTGACGTGAGCATGGGTGACTGCCTTGGATGGTTTCTCTTGCGTTTGCTGCATAATGAAAAATTGGAGTATATTTATGCTTTGTGAGCTTTTACTAGTCAAGTGTTTTGCTGAAAGTGCTTTTTTATTACAGTAACCTGATTGTGGTTCTTGTTGGGGCCAGCTGATCACCAATGAAATGAAATTGATATTTGAACATTCTTAATGTGTCAGATAGTTTTAATTTATTTGGGTATGCCTGAGAAAATGCAAGTTAGCAAGCATGAGCATTCATGTGGGTTTTGAGAATGCCGATTTGTTTTGAAACCATTTATAATTACTGAAAAGTTGTGGATAGCCATGACCAATGCTGAGGTTTGTAAGGGATTTAAGTTGCGTAGGATGCGCATCGTTCAATGAAAAGAGAAGCAAAAAGACCCGAGAAAATTGTGCGATGTGTGGCTTTGGAATAAATGCTATTGACAACGGAGTTTAGCACATATTTGTGATCTGTTTGTGAATCATTTTCATAGAGAAAAGAGAGGCCGTGATGGATATGCATAAATCAAAAAGAGGCTGGTTGTGTTGCGGCTTTTGAGATCTTTTTAGATGTCTGAGGGAAATGAGTATATATATTCTTGTGGATCAAATGCCCTGTTTATTTTGGGGTTCTGGTAAAGTTTTAGCCGAATGAAGTCCGCCAATATATTCAAAATGAAAGTCGATTGGTTAAGGAACCTTCCTCTTGTCGGCAAGAGCAGATTTACTCGCTTTGAGTTTATTGTGCTAGGCCTTCTTCTAATTTGAGTCAGGAACATTGATGTTCCTTTTTATGATTGTCCTTTCAACACTTTTAATGGACGTTCTTTCTAACCGAGAATACCGAGTCTCCCATATCTTGCTGGCTGATGTTTGTTGCTGTAAACCAAATCAGTATCGGCTACTTTCTAGTCCAATGAATTGCCAATTCATTTGGTCGAAATCTTGGGTTTCATCCTTTTCAAATAATTTCTTTGCCATATTTCTAGACATTTCCCAGACCAGATTCCAGTCAAATTTTCAGACAAACAAATTCTTCTTAAATAAGTCAAGTAAATTAAAATGAAAACAATCCTTGAAATTTTAGCCGATGTCTAATGTTCTAGAACATAATTTATTCTATTTTTGTCTCTTCTAGATAAAAAACTCATTGCCGTGTATTTGTGTTTGTATTACTTTAAGTTTTTCGCTTTGTTATTGCAGATCCTTCTTTTCAGTATGGAATTTTTCATGTCCACCGTGGATCTACTGGTATTAATCGTACTTTAGCTTCATACTTCCTATCATGTTTTGGTCAAGGTTTTCGGGGATCAGTGCGTCATTGTCTGTAATGAAAAGGTTCTGGAAACCTAGCCACAGCTCGAATTGGTTGAGACATGAGTTTTACTGGAGTTGATTTCTATTGGTTTCTTTTACCCTTTGTAATCCTTGAGAATACCTTCTTATGTCTCCAGTGTAGATGTCATTGGATGCTATCAAATTGCTTCTTTTCATAAGGCACAGTATATCACAACAGTGTGCTCATTGTCTTAGTTGTGTGTCACAACTTTGCTGTTTCGAAATCGCGTCGCTTTCTAAATAGAAGTCAGTTTAGCAATTCTAGTTAATGCTTGAAGGTCCTCCATTGTAACTGTGTTGTCAAGAAAACGTATGTGTAGAAAAACATCACCCAGTGCAAAATTGACAACGCTGTTCAGAAAAGAAGACCTTCCAATCCCGGACAAAGATGTTGAGACAAAATGCAATTTCTGCAATTTTCTACTTTACGCTGCCCCTATAAATTCGAATCCCCCTTTCCCCCGAATCAATGTTGGATTTGTAGTTCTATCATTTCTCCCTCAAAATCATGCATTCAGCATTGAATTGGGGGAGGGGGGGGGAAGTTATTTTTGAAAGGGAAGTGAAAATACAAGCTTTTCGTGAAAAGTCTCAACCATTTTTGTCCGGGATTGTTCTATCCAATTAATAGCCATAATAATTTAGAAAAACTACAGTGCAAATGATCAAGTGTGAACCCTTTAGAAACTGGCTATGCTTTTCAAAGCAGCTAGTGAGAATGCTACTTGTAGCAGCTATGTGTAGGCCCAAGTGGCCTATTCTCAAGCTTATGTGACTGGTAATTTTGCACTAGGTATACCAAATCAAGAAGAAGAAATATTTTTTAGGTATGTTTGAGAAAATGTTTGAGGAATGATGAATAAGCCTAATAGTCCATGGGTGTTTTTGATATCCTTAATTTCATATTTGGAGTTTGAAGCTCAACACCCTTGTTGCTATTTTCATCATTTGAGACAAAATTTTGCATCACCATCGAGTCTTGGCCTAAAAACAGATTTTTTGAGCAACTTTTTGATGGTAAAAAGAATGAAAATGGATTTAAAAACAGCAAACATTCTACAACACGACTTAATCTTTTTTCTGATACTCTTTCTAGTCTAGACCTTAGAATTAAGGCTGAAGAGATCAAAAGAGAAAATGTATACCTGGTATGATAGCGTAAGTCCTGTTGTATAATGTTTGCCTTTTTCAAACCCATTTAGAAATTTTTATATAAGATGATCTAGTTTAATTTCTTCCCGATGTTTAGAAAAGCAATGTGTTAATGAAAATGAAATGCCTGGATAAACATAAACTCAGTTTCTATTGAAACTTCCAATTGTATTTTTCCAGTTTCATGTTGTGTAAGTTTTTGAATCTTTCTAAACCGCAGCAAATGACTGTGGTAGGCATTCTTTGTAAACAAAGCTGTTTCAGATTTTTACTCCATACGCACAACCGTCATGTGGGAGATTTAACTTGATGATTAAATTCAACCCGGCTGTTGTTGTTTAGTCAGATTTTTTCCATGGATTGAATTTGAAAAACTGTCTTGCAACGGACATTTTTCGGCTAAAGGCTACTGGTCGTCTTCTGGGTGTGTCTTTTGTATGGAGTGTCCGTTGTATTGAGTGTGCGTTTTCACGAAATTCCTGTAAAGGGGGTCTCCATGCTTCCGATGGTCTAGTTAAGATTGGAGAATATTTTTGAATGTTTTTTCAATAAAGAGCCTTGTATTTACTAAATTTCTCCTTTGCTTGTCGAATCTTTGAAAGGTATTGTAGGACAGAGCTGTTAATAGAGGGTCGGTACAGATAGAGTCAACATTTCAAAAGAGGATGATAACACTATCTATATACCAGAAATTATGATTGTGCGTTCCATAGCCTAAACGAGTGGTGAGACAAAATCAATTAACTATTTTACTCTTAAGTCAGGTTACAAGCTTATGATTAAGGTCTATGTTCTAAATTATCTAAGGTTTTGTCAAGAAAATTCACGATTTCTATACAGCCCTACGATCGTTGAAGTTTATTGGCTAGGCCACTTTTAGTTAGACCCGAGCAAGAAGCTTTAAAGTGATATTTTCTTTGAGTTGAACATTGTTCTCAAGTTTTTTAATCTACTTCGACTCCTAAATTTTACACGCCATATGCCTTATGTTGTGCAAAAACATATTTTACAGTAAATAATGCCTCGCTTGTGTTATTGTGTTTCATGTTTGCTGTAATAGTCATGGCTTTCGAGGTTGGTTCTGTTGCTATGCTTTTATCAGTTTTATGGGCTGTAACAGAATGATCTCTCACTCACTGGAATGTTAAGATTATCTCGAGCTTGAAACTACGTGATTTTCAATGATTAAATGGTCTGTTTTCGAAAGCCATATCTTCACGTTTCCATCAATTAGTATTTGACGTTTTCCCGATGTTCATTTGGATAAGATTTCACCGAAATAGTTTTGGCAGTGACCTTGAGTGACAGTTGGAACACTCCCAAACCGTGTAAAGCTCTTCAATATTTGTTTCAAGCCAGAATTTCGTTTTTGAGGTTTCTCGAATCAGAATTAGTCAAACCTGGTAGCTTTAGAATTTAAACCATGTTGCTGGTATTTGGTTTATCGTGTTTTAATCGCAGAGTTGATTGAACTTAAATCAGCACGTTTCCGAAAATTTTGCCCTTTTCAATATTAGTGCTCGCATAATGTGAACGTAAAGGGGATGTGTCGTGAATGGCTAGTGTAATGCAATTATCTTTTTTCTTTAGTACAAAGCACAGAGTCGAGGTTGAATTTCATGGCAGTAAAAGTTCATGAATCAGCAATGAAAAGTTACGAAACAATGATATTTTTGTTGTATTAGCCAATTGCTAACACAGCATTTGTCCTTTGATTAGTTTTATTTATGTAATCTCACTTTTTGGCTACAGAGGACATTCGCACGGACCATTCATTGTGGTACAGTTTTATATAAGATCCAAATAATTTTTGCAATGGCTCGGCGTTGATTTTTTGAATAATTTGTGTCTCAGTTGTTCTGATTGTTTTTCTCATTTCAGCATGGATTTTTTCTACGAATTCTTTCTTTAACCTAATTTCAAGACTATTAGATAACGGACTTTGCATGACATTTTTAAGAACATCTTTGATTAGCTGATAAATTTACTTTGTTTTGTTAACATAAGAATATATTTAAAAATAACAAACTATTTCTTCAAAATCGACCCTTGATGTTCTTATAGTGTGTGCTCGTGTGTAGAAAAAGATATTGGTCAACTGTCTTGGTCAATCTTCTTTTAGAATAGCTCTAACTTTGTATCATTGTAAAAATTCAGGATTTTTTTGCAGTATCTTTTTTGTATCTTTGCATTGTGCAGTATTGTAATGTAGCATTTCAACGTAGTCAGGACATAGCCATTATAACCTTCAACGTACCAGCATTTGCATAAATTGTCTAGTAAAACTTGGTCTGTAGTATTAACTCTTGGTTGTCGAAATGCAGAGAGAGAGTCATATTTTATAATGCATGAAAGCTAAATGGGTGCAAATAAAACCCGACATCAGCATTTATCTCTATTGAAATATCCATCTATCTCAATAGGAGTTTTCGTAGTGCGAGCAAGAGGTTTCTGAAACGTAACTCAATGCCTCTAGAAGTTTTTAATCCATGAACGAGATATGCTGGAGAAGAAAGATCATGAAATTTAATTAAAGGTGTCAGAATGATATTTCTGATAGGATTATACTATTAATTTCAATTTGTATCCGCTATTAAGGTTAATACCTTAATTTTAAATGCATGTTTGTTTTGTTGTAGCCATGGAACAAACGCAGTTTTTTCATGTCGTGGAATTGCCATTGCCGTTGATTGGTTTCGAAAAAGAGGCCACAAAGTTACCGTTTTTGTCCCAAACTGGAGAAAGGAAGCATCTAAACCAGACACGCCAATTATTGACCAAGAATACTTAACTCAACTCGAAAAAGACGGGGTGCTGAGTTACACACCTTCACGGCGAATCCAAGGTAAACTTGTACAATGCTACGATGATCGTTATATTGTCAAACTGGCGCTAGAAACGGATGGAGTCATCGTATCAAATGACAATTTCAGGGACCTGCAGGAAGATGTACCAGACTGGAAGAATTTTATCGAGCGTCGCCTTTTGATGTATACATTTGCAAACGAGGACATTTTTATGCCTCCTGATGATCCCCTTGGACGGCATGGTCCTTCCCTTGAAGAGTTTCTCAGGACAACAGGGGAGCATAAATTACGTCAGTGCCCTTATGGCCGTAAATGCACGTTTGGGCATAAATGCCGGTTTTACCATCCTGAGCGCACGTCGCATTCAAATGCCTTAAGAGGCAAACTGTTTCCGAACCCTGCACTTCATACCTTGCATCAGCAGCAGCAAATGCAAGGGGCATCCAGACCGCGGTCTGATCCATGCCATTCAAATGTGCATGGTGCCCAAGACAACAATCGAAGGCCTATCAGCCTTCCAAATCTTGAACAGTTGTGGATCTCTAACCCCCCAGGCTCATATGTACCAGTTGGTCCCATGCCTGCACAAAATGCCCAAGGTCGTCCTGTGTCAGGACCACCATTCCAAGAAGGGCAATACGGACAAAATGAACAAGCGATTCCTCGTGTTTGCTCTTCTGGAGATATGATGCAGGCATCTGCCAATTTGGCAAGGAGGTTGAGCGGAGAATACAATCATTACTCGCCACAACAGGGTGGTCAATATATGCACGGCGGAATGGTTGTTAACCAGCCTAGGCCACCTTCTGGTGGTGATTATATTGGCCGGCCTCTCTCTTCTGATTTCAGTAGCCGACCACCCTCTGAAGACTTTAGCTATTGCAGCGGAAACAGTAGGCCGGCATCGGGCGAATTCAATTCTAGTAGGCCTAATTCAGGTGATTATACTGCTAGTCCATGGAATGGTATTGGATACCAGCGGTCGGTCTCATTTGCTCCATCTGTCCATGGAAATCAAATTCCCTACATGGACACGAGGAATTTTTACCCTATAAAAGGTTACTACAAGAATAGGGGCCCGCCAATGCCAGAGACAAAGGAAGAGACACGAATACCCAACGGGTTGACACGAATGGATTTACTCGATAAATTACGGGAGATGTTTCCAAATCATAACTTTGATAAAATATTGTCTATCCTACGAAATCATCCGGATATATCAAGCGTGGAGGATGCTCAAAATTATATTTTGAACGAATAGCAGATGCAGCTGCAGTCCACATTGGAGAGCAGCGCAGTTCCCTCCGCTTATGCTGGCCGTTAGCTGACCCTCCTTAGCGGCCCATCCAAAGTCGATAGCAGGCCTCTAATTCTGCGTCAAAGCTGGCAACCTGACATTATACCTGTCGCGTGCCACAATAGATTAATTAGTTTCGAACCAGGCGGTGGCCATTGCTAGAACCCAAGAACAAGCCGATCGAGAAGAAAAATACCAATTCGCAGGTTTTGAAATCAAGGTAAGACAAGATATTTTCAAATATTCGTGTAACTGGTCGGTTATTGACTTCAATGGTAAGTTTCCAACTGGAAACAGTAAGTTGTACTTTGGTTCTGGGAAGGAGAAAGGTGGAAAAATTCCAATGTCTTTTTATATAACGTTGAATTTCTGACACAATCTTAAAGCAGCTCCCTTATCTGATAATAGTGGAAGCATAATTTTAAAGCTAACAGTTATAAATTTCAAGCTTGCAATCTTTTGATATGACTGGGAAATTTGGCAAATTTGGAATGACAATTTTGGTACACAGGAATCGACGAGTTTTTCGAAGAAGCCAAAAGAGCTTGCATAGCCTCAATTTCCGACATGATCTACCAACCTGTTCCCTGTTAATTAACTTGTGATCTCTTTATGCTAGCAAATCTCTTGCTTCTTGGAATTTTTTCCGTCTTGGAACCTCGTCCTTCCCAGAATCTATTACTTCTCGGAATTTCAAGGAAATGAACACGATCGCAATGATTAATGTTGTGAACTTTGTTTTTAGACTAAGATATGGTCTTAGGCCCATCTGTAAACCATCGATTGATGTAAAGTTTGTAAAATCGTAACATCGATTCTACGTATACCATGATTTTAACCGCCTTCAGAGTAGTGTCAATATATTCGCATTTTTGTAAATATGTCTCCTAGCACTTGGCACCTTGAAATGAAGGACATGTAAGATTAATTGTATGATCTGACGGAAACCTCCCTTCACTCGATCGAAAAATTTTGTACAGCGATATTTCATAAGGCATACTTTTATGCAGAAAACCGAGGACCCTTCAGCAGAATTTCAAAGCATTATGTTGACGATGTCTTGTATCTTTACTGCAATTTCAAATCAATGAAAAGAGTTTTCCTTTCATTTGTGTTCCAATCTTGATTTTCATCATGCGCCGTAGGTTTTTAGGGTTATTAACAAAGTTTAGGCCACCTACATCATTTAAGCTCCGAAACCATATTGGATTCCATTTTGCGTATAAGCAAAGTATCGTAGGCCATCAGTTATTGATACTCCTCTTTCCCTAAAAAAATACACTGCAATAGCGTTACTTTGTAGGTAAAAAACTATAGGATGCATAAGAACTACTCTTTTCAAACCGAGATTCTAGAGAAGCAAACTCAACTGGATATCGTGTATTGTTTTGTATCTTTGCATTGATATCTTGAAGCCAAAAACTCCACTTTTTGTTAGCAAAGAACTCACACCACATTTTGCCCAATAAAGACCCTAATACTTGATCTCACCAAGTCGATAGTCGCAGATATCAGTACTGAATACGAACTAGAAATTCCTACCATTTTTTGCTCGGCCAATTTTGCTGTCCCACTGACTTAAGCGCCAGTTAAGCACCTTGCGGAAACTTCAATTTTTATGTTCATCCGTTTTCACTTCCTTTTTGAAGTAAATTATTAGTTCGCCAGGTGGAATTTAGAACGAAATAGATTTGTTTAACTAAGAATATCGCGCTTCGTACCTTATTTAATCTCAATAGCCAATGATTTATCGTTTGCCTCTTTAGCCATTTTGTAAGTGGTGCGTGTACTGGCTGATTACAGGATGATCAAATAAAGAATGCTCTTAGTAAGAGTTCGTTTTCATTTCGTTTTTTCGTTTTGCATTTATTGTCAATATATGCTATGTGTGTGAGTATGCAATGTATCCTAATCTGGTATCCAGGTCCCCAATGTGTGATGCAATCACCCATTCGTGCATATCTCGCAGCCTCTATTGCATATCCTGAGAACCTTCTTTTATACCTTGCCGAACTTCCCCTGCATCCCGCAGCCCCATGTTCAATCCCTCCCTTCTATTCATTTGTAATACGCCCCAAACTATAGTACAATTTTATAATGATGGCTTTATGAACTTTTAATGTCTATCTGACCAAAGGAAAACGCTAGCTTTATGTGTCGCCAGCAATAGGCCATTTTCTAAGTGTTGGTTTGCCAGGGTATTGTTTATTTTGTTATTTACCATTAAAGTTCTCAGTGAATCTGTAACCTATCTGAATGAAACTAGTACATTGCTTCAAAATTATAGTATTCCTATTGCAGTATTACTAGCAGGTTGAGTAGACAATGCTCATCTAAATATCTGTCTCCTTTATACCGTGCTTCTGCCTCTTCTTAAACATTCGCTTCAAAATACACAACGATAGCCGTTAAGTAGGCCCCTAATTATTCTCTTCTAGACAGTCGTTTCGTAAGTTTATATTCGATACTGTACTACCTTAACCCCACCCATTTGTACCACCCAATCTCATTCGATCGCAGCCATTTTGGCTGAAATACCAAATTTAATTCAGAGGCTCGCCAAAACCGAATAGAGGGCGTCGAAAGGTGAATAATTTCTGGTATAGATGAAATTCTGCAACCTTCCGTCATATCAGGACAGCAACATGTTTGGGTCAGCGTTATTAAGTGACCCAGACAAGCAATCGAATAGTTAGGAACTGTGCACCTTTTTCGTATTAGCCCTTTAAATTTAGATGAAGTTACGCGTTTGTCAATTAGATTTGAAGTTCCTGCAATATACGATATTGTTTTGACTCTCCTCCACCAAGCATCCCTTCGTTATAATTTGCTGTTTTGTCATTTCTAGTCTGACTTTATCTCCCATTTCCCAATTTATAACCTTATTCTATCGTCTCTCAACCACGAGACATCGGGTATCCTTGTTTCTAATTATTCGCTAAGTAATATAATTGCTGCAAAACGAATATTTTTTCTTGTGAGAAGTACTCTCTCTGACTAGGAGAGATTTGATAATTTTCCCACTAGCAAAGCTCGTTTCATTTCGAGCTCCTTAATGATACTCGTAAGAATTCAAGAACGCTGGTTACTTTATAATATGATTTGAAACTAGTTTGACATTTTTCGTTCAGAGGTTATCTTCAGGATTTCCTGAGTCATTTAAAGAACTTTAAGCATGTAGAACAATCACCAAGGCAAAGGACAATGCTTTTTTCTTTTAGTCCGCGAGGACTGAGCTCGTTTGCTGGAAAAGAAGGGAGACAGTTTTTAGAGGCTCATTGAAATCATCATTTCTCTTTACCCGACCGTAATTCAGTCAGTTCTCGGAATAGAAAATGCTGATGTCCTCTCGACGTTGACTTAAATCGTAGTTTAGGTTGATTGATTTGTAAGTTGGTGGTTGATTTATAAGTTGAAATATAGTGTCCTTTTGTAAGTATAATTTGTATCAACGTAGTAGAAAAATTTTTTGTATTGTAAAAGTGCATCAATTTCTTATCAATATTGGATAGCCAAATTTTGTATGTTTGAGCAGTCGATCCTATTTTCATACTTAAGTCATTTATGTACTCCATTTTTATATATGATAGTTCTAGTTTTGACTATATTCGTATTTTTAAAAGCGTATAATGTAGAAGGTGATTTCAAATACTCATTTTTGTAAATGTAGTTTCGTAACATAACTTAGTAGACAGATATCCGACACTATTCAAATCGTTCTTTAGTTTCACCTAGTATAAATTTATTCATTTTTGTGGCATTGATCTTGAATATTTGCAGATTTTGCGCTAATTTTAATTATAACAACTGACAAGGGTATCATTGAAACGAGGCAGGGCACACATGATTATTTCGACGGCCAAACCTTTAAAGACCTTCGAGTGATTTAAGGGGGCCGTTATATAGCACGTGATTTCAACTTCGGTGACTATTTCTTGGACACAGTTGCATTGATTAGGGAGATTTTGCAAAGCATAGAAGTTATTTTTCTCCTTGACACCGTTACTCATCGTCTTCATTTTAGTTATCAAAAGTTCCCTTGCCTCGTTCGATGAAATCTTCAAGATACTGTTAAATTTTTATATAGCTTTCACCGCTGGGCCCAAATCGCCCAGAATGGACCTCTCTGGAAGATGTGCACTCCAGCCGTCTTCTTGATATTTGCCGTATTGAGTTTGTTATCTTCTTAAATTTTGCATATTAATTAGCCAGAATTCTCGGTCCTGAAATTTCAAATGTTAAACAGTTGATGTTTTTAATCGTAAGATGCCATTAAACTTGGGGTTTTTTTACCTTCAACAGACTGTTTTGTCTGTATAAACCATGCCTTAGCACATCCCTGTGTTGGAAATGTCGTAAAGACAGGGCTTTTTCGATATTGGTTTTTTTACTTGTCTTAAATGTATGCAAAGTTTTTGAGACATAGATGATCTTATCTCAAAAATTCTTGAGCTCCATCCCAGATTTGTCTTTCCTCAAATCTAACGTTTTCATTACAATAACAGAACATGAATATCCATAATAAGTCTGACTCTTTGAGACATTTCCAAGACAATATTTTGTATATTTTTGCCCGAAGATAGACACAGAAAACTTGTATAGCAACAGAGCAATTCAATTTTGTAATCAAGTAAGTTAGAGATATATAAGTGAGAGTACTGTGTAAGTCCTTTGTTTTTCTAACAGAAATGTAAAGTCGTTTTGATATGTTTGCTTTAGTTTTGTAATCGTGCATTGTATTGGCATAATTTGTGAAATTCAAGTCAAGTCTCATTTTTGCCTCTTCTTCTCATTGCAAAAGCGTATGTGATGGGGCCTGGAGAAGAGAGGGGGGGGGGGGGTTCTGTCGAAACACCTACCGGGAAAATTCGTAACATGTCGGTTGTTTAGGGCAATGTTTGGCTTAAATCATCTGTCAATATCGAATTAAGTTATGGTATAGACAAAAATCTTACTGTATTTTTATAAAGTTTTTATGAATAAGCTGCTTTCATATATCATTATGTTAATATCATGTTAATATGAAAATAATAGTTATGATTAGAATTATTTTGAGGGTTTTTGAGATCAGAGCTCTGATGTTATTTCAAGTTACGACTAGACCTCAAATAATTCATAAATAATTTATAATGAGAATATGGTATGCTTCTGGACTGACTGATCTTCAAACTAAAGCCATGACATGATTCTTGTAAAAAAACAAACATACAATGCAAGCCAACAGTCTTGGAACAGCAATACTGTCTTTCACATTAGATGTTCCCCTTTCCCATTGAAACAATTTTGCATTACTCCCAATAGAAATTCTCCCAACGTAACTTGTATTTTAGAAACAAGAATGGCTGGGGTTTATTTCCAACATTGCTTCTTGGGGGAAAGTGGGCAAGTCAGATGTTTCTATTATTGTGAGATGAAATAGATCGAGTATAGACCAAAACAGCTTAGGGGCTCCAAGTACTTTTAAAAGTTTTTGAGAATGAGTTGAATTTGAGCAAAGTCATTTAGAACATTTAGAAGCTTCCCATAGGAATAAAGAGTTGGCCGTCAATGAATTGCTGAAGAATACATTGTCACAGGGCACTGTCAAATTGTTGGTATCAAGTGTATTCAGATAGAATAGAAAAAGGAATTTAATTTGAAGCTGATCCAGGAATTCGGATCTCAAGATAATTGAATCAAAAACATGGTAAAGATTGCCGCGAAATTAACTGTTTTTCTTTTCCATGGGGGGGGGGGGGTTTAATTTCACCTGTCCTTGATTACTCTTTGGTATCTTGTTGAATGAGCTGCAAAGTGCCTATTTTGGTGATATTTGTAACGTTGAAGTCTACAGCTATTGCTGAAGTTTGCCTCCGAGGTTTAAATAGATTCTACAATTGGACCTTTGCACCACGTGCAGATGACATTTTAGTAATAGATTGGGCCTCCCTGACAAATGGTAAGTTTTAAGCTACTGTTGTTTACAATTCTTTTTCACATTGGCTGCTATTTCTAGTATTTAATGTGCAATGTTTATGAATTTAAAGGCCAGCTTTGTAAAAGGCAAGTTCTCGTAGAAGAGTAGAACCTCCATCCAAGCAGGTTTAGTTTTCCCCAAAGCCTTTTATCGAAAGGGACCTTCCATGAAACTGCACGTGGTTTTTGATGGCTTTTGTTTCGATATCTTACGCATGGTTTTTATAACATGTATTCTTTTTCGTTAAATTCGTTCAAGTGTTCGGGCTTTGATTAATACCATACATGTTGGAGATGAAATATCTTCCAATATTTCTTGCTATTGGTCTTAAACCCCTAAATGCTGGAATCTCCAGCACAATAAGCAAGAATTAGCCTTCAACTGGCCTTTACTGGCCAGAACAAGTTCTGTTAAAAAGGTTTTCCTACGAAAATAAACATTTATTAGAATATTCGCTTAAAACACGAGCTTATTTTGCATCAAATTGATGGCTGTCTAGTCTCTACCCTGCGGAACTTATACTAAGAACACATAAGTAATAACAAAGGATTTTGCAAGTCCCAAAACATTTGATGAGACCGTTGTTAAATTCCTGATGCATATATGATGTAAGCAACAAATTGCAAACACTGTAAGCCAATTCAAGGCATTGTATTAAACTGTCCATTGTCTTACAAGTGAATTCACAAATCTTTTAATAGAATGTAACGTCTTATTTGTTGATCGATTCTATTTGAAGTAAATAAACACAAAACAGAGTTTATCTCTTTCACAGAAGGACAAAATTTTATTTAAACTCTCAAATAAGTAAATTGTGCAAAATCGTTTCCTTCTTAGCAGTTCTTGAATTCCAAATAATCAAAATGGCGATCACGATCGTCGCACAGGAAACAAGCATAGAACGACAACTGATTCTATTTTTGAATCTTTATTAATCTCGTTACCACGTTACCAGCATTCATTCAGTCATTCATTCATTTGACGGGTGTGAGCAGTGGCGCAACGAAGGTAGCCTGGGTCTCGAGGGCCTATTCAATCCAGCACCCCCCCCCCTCCCCAATTGAAACTTTTGTAAAACAATATAGACCAAACGTAAAATGTTAATCGAAAGAATTTCTATTCAATTAGACTAAGAAATCATGAAGACCCGTGGCCCTAGATGTGAGAGCTTTCGACTTTTTGAATAAAAAAATCCCGTGCTACTCAACAGTTATTTTTCTCCTACTTAGAGAGGAGCTTTGGCAGGGGAGCCAATTTGAGGATTTAGGGTAATCAAGGATATGCTTTTTGAGATCTAGAAAAACTAAACGTGAGTGCTGCATGCAATTTGACAACAACTAAGTTGCCCACTCTTTTAATCAAAGCTTAGTAACCTTTTAAAGCATAAGTACTTGGAATCTAGCTTTTTAAAAAAAATGCCAAAATGGAACAAAATGCAACACACCAGGGGCCAATCAAGTATTTTTTTCGGAGATAATTTCATTGTTGACCTACCCGTCTACCCTAAGTCTACGAAATGACCAAATATTTTCACGCTTTTCAAACTAAATAGATCTTTCAAAACACGCGAATTGGGACTCATCGCATCGATAGCTTTCTCAGCTTACTGTGCATTTGTAGCATTAAGTTGAAAGCTAGCTGACCAATTGTGTATACGCCTTGTAAGTGACCTTCTTCTCACTTCAGCCTTGCCTTTCAAGATACGTAAGATTTAGTTTGAGAGTACAGCAAAACCAAAGGTCCTAAGCGAATTTTGAAATTTTCACTTGGTCCTCGTGCTTCAAAATAAATATATAGTGGATAGTTAAAAAAAAACCTGTTGCTACTTTTGCTATGTTTTTGGCTGCATGTGCCAGTGCTAGTATATAGGTCATATAAAAAAAAGGCTGTGTATGGTCAGCAGTGACGTGCTGGCAGGGGGACAAGGGGGCAAATATCAGGGGCGCCAAAATGAATTTTTACGTTAAAGGGGCGCCGAACAATCTACGATAAATCGCTTCGAAGAGGACAAGAATCACCTTGCAACATACCACTTATTCTTTTTCTTACTAACTTTGATGCACTGAACGACGATTGTTAAACGCCATCTCAAGATCTCACGCAAATTTCAATGATTTTTGCACAAAGTAGCTACCATGGGCGTACCGAAGTAGGGTGTGGGGGTGTTTTTGAGGAACCATTCAAATATTTTTGGCCATATTTTGAAGAAAGCTTATAGGTATTGTCCAGGATTTTCCATGAGTCTATAGCGATGTTGTAAATATTTGGATGCATTTTCCGACCATCCCTAGAACGTCTTCTTTGCATCTTTTGCTGCCCAGGAGTGGCGGCATGGGGGGGCAAGGGGGGGCTTTAGCCCCCCCTAGATTTTTGTTAGCCCCCCCGTCGGCAGCCAATCAATTTTTGCTTTCTCAATACCGTCGGCACTTGATGGATGTCACCCGGTTTACATGTTTTTGAATGACATAAATAATCGAGGAGAAAATTGCACTGGCTGGTTTATGTTTTTCTCAATGGCTTTTCTTCGGCAATTTTATTATCATAGTGGCATTATATCCTGTCGCTTCCGTGAAAGCTGTGACATTGTTTCATGGTGCTCCCTCGCATGACCCACAATACCATGGTGCTCCTCTCGGTTGAAATCTCTGTTGCTGCTTGGAATTCATGCGAAACGTGCAGAGATGCTTGATTTGGATCATGTTTTGGACCGTTTCAAGGAAATTTACCCTAACAACAGCAAAATCACGCTGTCATAAATAAAGTCTTTAATGGATTTTAGGGATTCTCTTTTCGTTTCAAGACATTTTTATTGCCAATGAAAACATTTCGATCATGAGCACATTTTGCGTAATAAAATTTTCAAAAAGCATTTCTTGTCCTTTTTCATCAACTATTTTTCAATAGCATTGTTCACCGCATAGCTTCCGACTAACAAATGGTTTAGACAAAACCATCGATTAACTTCTTCCACCATAGATAGGTAGAAAAATTCAACAATAGGCAATATTTGCGCATTAAGTTTCTTACAAGGCACAAATTGCCGAGAAAATCTAGTGGACTCCGACACAGGTTGGAAAGTGGGGGGCGGGGAGGGGTCAAGGGAGAATTTTGCACCCACAACAAAAGATTTTGGAAAAATGCTCTATTGCCTTATAAAAAAGTGGGGGCCATGACCCCTCGGTGCCCCTTCATTGGAGGTGCTGCTCAGGGGCGTCGCGACTGGGGGGTTGTCACACCCACCCCAGTAGTATCTCAATAGGAAATTTCAGGTAAAATCCGCTCGGTGGAAGAAACGCTTTAGGTATTTCAGAGACCTTCCTGTCATAAAATCAATGAAGGATCAAGCTATCTTAGGTAAAATTGTGCCTCGTGTCCATTTCTCCTAAAGTTTCTCAGTAGAAGCGTCAACTGCAATTCACTATGAGCTCCAGATTTGTCTTAACATTCATAAGGCATGCTAAGATGGAAAGAGAGATCTAAATTTAGAAGTAACTGACAACCTGGTATTTTTCAAGACCACGGCGAAATTGTTTTTTTTATCTGCTGTAAAAAGGTTTTGCAAAAAGACTATAATTTTCAATAGGATTAGGAGGATTGCTTTAGTGAAATCTGCTTAAAAGGGTGCATTTTCCAGGGAACTAGAAGCATCAAAATTCGAAAATTTCCTGTCCCTTCGGCGGCAACCATGGTGCCGCCTCAGGTAGTAACTATATATTTTGGCCGTCCCGATATAGAGATTTGACAAGACTATTAGGAAAGTCGGTTATTATCATACAGAGTTAGATTGACAAAATGTATTGCAGAGG